ACAAAGACAGAAGAGCATTTCAACTCTTTCTAACCTTCTGACATTCAACATTCTAACAAAAAAAAAATTAGTCAAGTACAATGTAAATCAAAGATATTCAAAGGGAAAAACAGTAATTGACTCTGTGGAAGATTTGCATGCATTTTTTTCAAGATAAATTGTCCTTGGCTTGCAATGATTTGCATATACACATATACATGTATGTGTGTGTGTGTGTGTGTGTGTGTGTATATATATATATATATATATATATATACACACACATATATAATATACATATATATATATATATATGTATATATATATATATATATACATATATATATATATATTATGTATATATATATATATACGTACATACGTGTGTGTGTGTGTGTGTGTGTATGTGTTCATACTCCATTACTGGCTGGTTTTTTTCTTCATTCTTGAAGACGACCAAAATGGCCTCACTATGTTGGAGTCAAGGTAGTGTGTCTGACTGTGGCCTATCAGATCAACATGAGATCTGGAAGGCTGTATTATAGGAAAGGCACAAATAGTATGCAGGAACATTTGGCATGCAGATATCTTTAAATCTGTGCATCTCACATTTCTTTTGAGCTACTGCAATTCTACTTTGCTAACTGAGCACAATGACTTCTTTGATATGAGCATACCAAGCAGAGCAATCTTTTTCCAGTGTCTCTCATGTCACACAATTGATTCCAAAGTTTTTCAGGGAGACCTTGAGAGTGTCCTTGTATCAATTCTTTTGATCTCCATGTAAGCTCTTGCCTTCTGTGAGTTATCTGTAGTCTTTCAGCAAACATACGTTTGGCATGCAAATAACATGGCCATCCCATTGGAGTTGCACTCCAATATTATGGTGGGGGAGGGGGGAATCTTTTATCAATCAACTAGGAGGCAATATACTACAATTGAAATGTTGATGACCTGGGTTCACATTCTGTCTCTGTCTTGTGCTATCTTTCTGTGATCTGCTACATACTCTAAGGATGATACATGGGAACAAGGGTAAAATTTGCAGAAGACAAGAAAAATTGAAAAGATTTAAATATATATAGGTAGTGGGAGGATCCACATAAAGTCAAATCAACAAACTCCTATTAAATGCTTACAATATGCCAAGCACTATGCTAAGCATTGGGAACACAAATAAATGCACAAAGAAAGACAGACCATCCCCTCAAGGAGTTTATACTTTACTTTATAGTCTAAAAGGAGAAGACATATAAAAGGAAGCCAAAGGTGGGGTGGGATTGCAGACAAAGTCCAGGAAAATGAGGATACAGTCTGAAAAGGAATGAAGATGTGAGTGGCCTGAGCTTCCTCTTTAAAATAGAGGTACTAGAAGGAACTAGCCAATCAGAGATAGAGTCCACAATGCAGAAAGTATTTCCAATGTGTGGATTGTAGGATGAAGATATTTCTGGGGCATTTAAGTGAAAGTCCTGGAAGTCAGAAGTGTAGACAAGAGACAATGAAAAATGTATCACTAAGACATCAAAGTGCCACTGCCTAGAACAATATTTTGCACTCAGTAGGCATATAATTGATGTGGGTTAATTAAATGAGAAAATGAGGGAAGAATCTGATAGCTTGAGTCCTTGATATCATGATGGAAAAAAAACTGGTCTCTACTAACATCACAGATAGCATGAGGAATATGATGAAGAGAATACATAATGTCATCATTTCCCATGTAATCCCAAAAGAGAGTAGTTAATAGGGTTGCTCCCTTTTTAGATGTCTCCATATGTACATAAGGAAAGCTGAGTTCTTTATGTGTATATCTCAATAAAAGAGAATAGATTAAAAAGAGGTGAGTCATTTAACTATCCCTTCATTTGGAGATGCAAATGCCCTTGGATAGAATTCCTATAGTACTCTTCTCCAGTCTTTATTAACCTAGTTAGCATTTGCCTAATCCTTACTGGAGGTATGGGCTGTGGGTTTCTAGTATGTGGAGCATCAGAAGATAGAAAATAATATGAGTCTACTACACAGAGTCCCATCTGTGATGTTTCTCATATTCCAATTCTAGTACAGTCAATATCAGCCATCATTATCACTGTTTTATTCAACAAGAATTTATTAAGCATTGACTCTGAACAAGTTCCAATGCTAGTTACTGAGGACACAAAAACAAATTGAACTTAGACTCTGCTTCTCAATCACCATCTACTATTTTCCTAAGTATCCTCTGAGGGAAATGCATTACACCAGATCCAAAGGACTCAAAAGAGGCTTCCCATATGTCCTCTTCCTTCAAGAAATGACAATCTCACTGTAGGCAGGAGCATATACTGACAAAAATAATTAATAACATAAGATACAACATTTTAAGTGGCAAGTAAAGGGTATAGGCAATAAGTCCTACTGGAGTTCCCAGGAGGGAGCAATCACTGAAAACTAGGAAAGTCAGTAAAGTTTTCACAGAGAAGATGGGACTGACATCTTGTCCTTGAAGGAAATGTAAGATTTGGATAAGTTGAGAGAAGAGAGAAGGGCATGCCAGGTACAGGGGATAACTAACTGGAGGCAGGCCACAAAGACTAGGACATTTTGACCACTATTTTGGGGAATAATTTGTGGTGGGAAAGAAAGGATGAAGAGGTTGGAAGGGAACACTTATGGAGGGCCTTGAATGCTAAGTTAAGGTGTTTAGATTTTATCCCATAGGAAATGGAAAACCATCAGTACTTCAACTGGCATGAATGAAGAGGGATTTATTCCAACATCCAGAGAGGCATGCTCCCTCCTGAGAACAGAATTCTTCCCCTTAACCCTCCCCATCCCATGAATTCCCTTGAAGTCCTCTCCTGTCCTATGCTGCTGGGACCACCCCCAGGCCACCAGTACCACTCTCTTGTTACCATGGCTCACATTTCCCCAGGTCCACTTACCCTCCCAACTTCTGCTAGGCTGTGCCAGACTCTCTGGAAAACAGGCTTCCCCCTCTCCTTGTGCAGCTGCTTCCATGATTAGACTGTCCTCTGCACAATTTCCTACCCCTTCCCTGTGACTGTTGTTGCCTACAGAGGGGCAAAACTTGATGCAAGTTCAGTGTTGAGACAAATTGAGGTACTTAAAAGTCAATGAACATTTGATAAAGGAGCAGGTTTACCTTGCCCTAACAGAGCAAGAATATACAACAGGGATATTAGCTTCTCTGGCCATGGTCCTCCTCCTCTCCATCTGGAAACTTCATCTGGTCAATAAGTCATGTGGGTATGGAGACTTACATAGTAGCAGGTCTGTACCAAGTGTGAGAGGCTCTGATTACACTGCATTGGGAACTTTTCAAGACCCCAGACCAGGAAGCTATAGCAGGGAATCTAGAACCAATTAGGTTTTGGAGGGGAGAAGGGAAGTCCTAGAAGGTGTCATTAAAATTCCAGTTCTATCATAACATGGCAAGAGAAAAGTATAACATATAAACAGGCAGAGTACTCTCTTTCTCTTCAAGATGGTTGGGAGAAGGTGAAGAAGGACTTCCTTCATCATATTGGGCATACCCCATATAAAGAATTTATGAGAGTACATTAACAAGATTGGAGGAAATACACAGGCATGTATAAAATGTGACCTGCAACATTGGAGGGAATTCCCTAATGGATAAGATCACAAAACTATCTGAGTATTTTTTAAATTTATTAATTTATTTATTTATTTTTAGTTTTCAACAATTACTACCGTAAGATTTAGAGTTACAAATTTTCTCTCTGGCTACCCCAAGATGGCATGTAAATTGATATAGGCTCAATGTATACATTCATATTAAACCTATTTTCACATTAGTCACATTGTAAAGAAGAATTAGGACCAGTGGGAGAAACCATGAGAAAGAAGAAACTAGAGAGAGAGGGGGAGAGAGAGAGAGAGAGAGAGAGAGAGAGAGAGAGAGAGAGAGAGAGAGAGAGAGAAAGCAAATAACATGCTTCAATATGCAATCAGACTCTATAGTTCTTTTTCTGGATGTGGATAGCATTTTCCATCATGAGTCTTTTGATCCTTGCATTGCTAACAAGACACAAGTCTATCAAAGATAGTCATCACAAAATGTGCCTGTTACTGTGTACAATGTTCTCCTGGTTCTCCTCACTTCACTCAGCATCAGATCATATAAGTCTTTCCAGATTTTTTTTGTCTGACTGCTCATCATTTCTTATAGCACAATAGTATTCCATTATATTCATATACCACAACTTGTTTGACCATTCTCCAACTGATGGTAATTCCTCAATTTCCAATTCTTGGCCACACAAAAATAGCTGCTATAAATATTTTTATACATGTAGGTCCTTTTCCCACTTGTATAATCTCTTTGGGATACAGACCCTGAGAGGTTGTCAATTCTCTCACTCACCCAGCCCACATGTCTTGGGTAAGACTTGAATCCAGGACTTGCTGACAAAAAGGCTGGGTCTTTATCTGCAGTTCTCTCTTCTAGGGTCCAAAGACACAAAGTAGTATCTTCAAGGAACTGACATTGTACTGGAAACAGAAGATCTGTTTCCAGCTGAGATTTAAAAGAAATCAGGAAGCAACAAAAAAAGTCAGGCCACGACTGAAAAAGCCTTTCCAGTGTAATCATCTGAGGTGAGTCCAATTACAACAGTCTAGTGTCTGTCAATGGGGACAGAGTTGTGGTCAGCTGAAGCTCATGATGCATTTCAGCTGAACGGTGAGAGGCAATTGTCAGACACTTTAGGTTTGTAAAGAGGGTGGAAAGGGAACACCAAGAAATCCTGTTTCTCTACCATTATGACGTTGACAAAGTGCTTTGCTCTGGCTAACCTCCTGAGGTAGGAAGAGAAAATACTATTATCTGCATTTTGTGTATTGTGTGTGTGTATAAAATTATGTACACCTTTTTCCTTCCCTCATTCTTTCTCTTCCTTCCTTTCTAACTCTTATGCATCTATATCACATATAGAAACATTGCTTATTGCTCAATATTTGTCACTGACGTTAATCACTTCAGAGCTGAATTCCCCTCACGCAGTCTCTGGGTCATGAAGCATCTTCTTCAGAGCCCTTCTCAGTTTTGACGTGTTCAGGATCAGCAAGGCAGGATGGATGGAGATGCCAGCATAGATCACTACCTGCCAAACCCAAAACCAAAAGCTGCAAACTGAAATAGGTGCTGTGAGGGCAATGATCAGAGGCAGAACATATGATGTATAGAGGATGAGAAAGAAGAAAAGTGACTTTAGGGTTGTAATGTGGACCTGCATACTCTGATCCTGAGGACCAGTACTGTGCTGCTGCATGTTACCCAAGTGTCGGCACAGGGAGGAAATGAGTAAGATGGTGGAGACCAGAAAGAAGAGGTAAGGAATTAACAAAATAAATATTTGCAGAGGTTTGAAAATATGCCTCTGGAATGCCCAAGTAATATCATCCAAAGTGGTCTTTTCTGAGTAATTCCCAGTGACTGGCAGGTACAAAACAAGATAGGTCTTTACAACAGATGGGATAAATATCAGATTGGATATCAGTAAAGAACACAACAGTAGCCAGGGGACACATCGGGAAATTCTCCATTTCAGCCAGAGGAAGATTGGGTGAGTGAAGGAAGAAATTTTCACACAGTAGAAAACAGCAAGCCAGGTGGTGAACCAGAATGTGGTCACGTTACTAAAAGACCAGAAAATAATAAAGTATACACTTCTGTTATTTGAAGAGAAATAATTATAGAAGTTGTTCAGAACTGCTGCACAATGTAGAAAGAATCGGGAGATGCCAAGGCTGGCCAGGATCATTATCACCAGGGGGCAAGGTCCAACATCGTACCCATTCCCTGCCCAGCCCTACGATGATGAAACCATTTCCTAGGATTGCTACTATAGACTCCAGGAGAAAGAAAATCATGAAGAAGAGATTGAGTAGGCTGGGCATTCTTTCTCTACTGAGCAACTACTGAGACTCAGATGTTACAGAACACCTTACCCAAAAGATATCTGATAGCAAGCTAGATTCTCCAAGGATTCAGCAGCTCTCTTCACTTTATGCAGGAGCCCAGCTGTAAGAGAGAGTGGAGGAGCAGGAGTTCACTGTGTGCCAAATGTGGATTAGAATAGAATACTACCACCTCAAAGGATGTAAATCTGACATGGGATCACTCACTGAACCCAGTCTCTATTTGTGTATCCTTGATTTGCCTGTCCCTGACCAGAGCCAGGGCCAAGGAAATACCTGGATATAGGCTACTGATCCTGGCACCTTTCAAAAACCCTACTAAAATGTATACTACTTCCCTGCCCATCCTGCTTCCTTCCCTTGAAGCTATAAAGCTCCCCCAGATCTACCCCCTCTCCTGTTCTTGTAGTCATGCACTTACCTATTGTCTTCCCCGACCCACTATTAAACATCCTCCTGTCTATAATGTAAACACTTAGTTGTACATTCATGCCCTGGATTCACACATCTATTTTATTCTCTGTGACTAGTGTATCAAGTCTCATGTTGTAGGTGTCAGGTTAACACTGAACCACTTATTTCATCTGTTTGGATCCCACCATTCAACCAGTTTTGAATCTCCCTAACTGCACAATTATTCAACCCACATCTCTCCATCTTTTCCACCAGAACAGCATTAATTAATACTTTGGCATTAATTTGTTCCTGATACCAGTCAGTAGCAAGGCCCTGGGGGAGTGTAAAACAGAACAGGTGAGTTTCTATGAAGGGAAAAGGAAAGAGATAGGACAGGTTTCTACTCAGAGAAAAAGCATCCAATGAGGTTAAGTACAGGAGTAGGGAGGGGAAGGTAGTCTGAGAACCTGGGGATAAGTAACTGTGAAGGTTTTGAGTAACTGAAAGCAGAAGTGGGAGGTGGAGTGGCATGGAATGAAGGCACAAACTTCCCCTACTTCATTTTATCCAGGGCCAACTCTGCCCTATAAGTAAAATGAGAAGCAAAGCAACACAATGAAAAGCATACTGGTTATGAAATCAGAAGGGCTGGATTCAAATCCTGACTCTGCCAAAAATTACACTTCTCAACATCTCTGGGCCTTAGTTTTCTCATCTATACCATGAGGGGGTTCTGCTATCTTATTTCTGAGAGCCCTTCCAACTTTCCATCAATGGTTTTGTCCCATTAGGGTTCTATGATAATACTTCAGAGAAGCTAATTCAGGATTTGGGAGCAGAGATGGACGAGCCAGAGGAAGGCCTGGTATAATAGGAGTAGAGAAAGACATCAAGAAAGCAAAGTGGAAGAAGGTCTGTCAGGACTAAGAACCCACTCTATTTAAGCCAATGAAAGAGAGTTAAGGGAGGATGAAACATTTATGACTGTGTCTTATGTACCTAATGTATTCAACTGATCCACCACTCTATTTCTTAAGAAGTAGTGGATTGTTTTGATGATTATTGCTTTATAATATAGTTTGAGATCTGGTATTGCTAGGCCACGTTCCTTTACATTTTTTTCATTAATTAACTTGATACGCTTTTGTTCTTTCTTGAGCTTTTGTTCTTCCTGATGAATTTTGTTACGATTTCTTCTACCTCTATAAAATGATTTTTTGGTACTTTAAATGCTATAACCCTGAATAAGTAGGTAGAATTCTTACTTTTGTTATATTGGCTTGGCCTACCCATGAACAATTGATATTTTTCCTGATAGTTTTCCCAATGCTGAACCAGCCTGGCATTCCTTGTATATATCACATCTGGTTACATTGTATGACCCTGATGATATATTGCTGTAATCTTGTTACTAGTATTTTGTTTAAAATTTTTGCATTGACATTAATTAAGGAAATTGGTCTGTAGTTTTCTTTCTCTATTTTGGCTCTTCCAGGTTTAGGTATTGGCACCATATTTGTGTCATTAAAGGAATTTGGTAGGACTCCTTCTTTGTCTATTTTCCCAAACTAGTTTATGTAATATTGGAATTAATTGTTCTTTAAATGTTTCATAGAAATCATTTGTGAATCCATGTGTCCCTAGGGATTTTCTCTTATGGAATTCATTAATAGTTTGTTCAGTTTCTTTTTCTAAAATGGGGTTGAAAATTCACCTTTTCTTGCTGTGTATTCCTCTTTCTCACCCCTTAGTTTTTTTTAATATCATCCCATCAAAGTAAAAAAAATACCTGCATCCTAGATCTGTGTATACCTCTTCTAACTGTCCTAATAAAGATACAGTTCTTAGGAGTTACAAGCATCATCCTCCCATGTAGGGATGTAAAAAACTCAAACTTATTAAATAACATTTTCTTTCTTTCCTATTTACCTTTTGATTCTTCTCTTGAGTCTTGTATTTGAAAATTGAATTTTTTGTTTAGCTCTGGTCGTTTCATCAGAAATGTTTGAAAATCCCCTACTTTGTTGAATGACCACTTTTTCCCTGAAACATTATGGGCAGTTTTGCAGGATAGTTGATTCTTGGTTGTAATCCAAGCAACTTTGCCTTCTGGAATGAATATCAAATTATAAGCCCTCCAATCCTTTAATGTAGAAGCTGTTAAATCCTGTGTAATCCTAGCTATGTTTCTTTGATACTTGAATTGTTTCTTTCTAGCCACTTGCAGTATTTTCTCCTTGACCTGAGAGTCCTGGGATTTGGCTATACTATTCCTGGATGATTTCATTTTATCATCTCTTTCAGGAGGTGATCAGTGGATTCTTTCAATTACTATTTTCCCCTCTGGTTCTAGGATATCAGGACAGATTTCCTTGATAATTGCTTAAAAGACTCTGCCCAGGATTTTTTTTTTGTCATGGCTTTCAAGTAATCCAATAATTTTTAAATTATCTCTTTTGTATCTATTATCCAGGTTAGTTGTTTTTGCAATGAGGTATTTTATATTTTCTTCTATTTTTTTATTCTTTTGTTTTTGATTGATTCTTTATGTTTTGTAGAGTCATTAGCTTCTCCTTGCTCAATTCTTATTTTTTAAGGTATTATTTTCTTCAGTTAGCTTTTGTACTTCCTTTTCCATCTGGCCAATTCTGCTTTTTGAGGAATTGTTTTCTTTTTCCCAGCTTTTGACTCTTTTTTTCATGATTCTCTTGCATAACTCTTATTCTTTTTCCAACTTTTCTTCTGCCCCTCTTTGTTGAGGGCTGGCTCTAAAGAGCCTGATCTGGGATTAAGATCCAGGATGGAGTTTGACTCTTGCCCAGGCTTAGCCCACAGGGCTCAATCATTTAGGAAGCAGGGCTCTCCAAATCTCCCCCTGCAAGGGAGGTTTTCTGACACATTCCTTCTCACTCTTTGAACCTTAGATTTACACATTCATCCCTCTATGCAGGTGGCACCAAGGTGCATGGGAAAGCCTTGGAAAATACAACCCAATCTATGAACCCTGATAATGAGGAAATGTATGTTGTCACGTCCTCAGCAGATGTTTTGGGGAGTGTCTCATGGGGAGGATTCTTTGAAATTAGGCTAGATTTTCTCTATATATCCTGTACCCTCAGATGAATAAACTGAGTCAGTCTTTACTGCTCCTCCTGGCCCACGTCTCACATTTATTTCACTCCTTCCCATTTGGTGCACTGATTGCTGGTGACATCTCTTCTTTCATTTTTTTAAAAATCCTTTTTGAGCTCTTCCATGAGGACTCTTTGGGCCTGAGACCAATTCATATTCTTCTTTGATGCTTTGCATGTAGATGTTTTGAAGTTGTCATCCTCTTCTGAGTTTGCTTTTTGATCTTCATTTCATTATAGTAGCTTTCTGTGGCCAGAGCTTTTTTTGTTTCTTTTTTGCTCCCCTTCCTAGCCTGTTTCATGACTTTTAAAGTTGAGCTCTGCTCCTGAGGTACAGGTGACACTGTCCTACGTTTCTTCCACTAGAGGCCAGGCTGCTAGTCACTGGCTTTCTGTGTCAGGGCCTCAGGGGCTGGCAGCTCACCTGCTGTCCTGGTGTCACTAATCTAACTGTGCTGGGGCCTCCAGGCCTGCCAGTCCTGACCACTAACCTGACCACTAACATTTAGGCTGGAGGCCTCAGAGCTGGCCCACTGTGCTTCTGGCCTGTTTAGCCAGGATGTGAGGCCTAGGTTTCTGATCTGTGATGGGGCTAAGAGTGTCCCCTGGCTGTCTAGGCACCACCTGTGTTGGCCTATGCTCTCCTTTAACCCAAGTGAGACAGACCTTTGCTGAAGTCATTCTAAGTTATCTTGGGTTGGAAAATTGTTTCATCCTATCCTTTTACAGGTTCTGTTGCTCCAAAATTCATTTTGAAAAAACAGTTTGGGTTACTTGGGTGGAAACTGGGAAGAGCTCATGCAAGTCCCTGCCTTTTCTCCTCCATCTTGGCTCTGCCTACTGGAGAGTTATAAGAGCTCTACAAATGCTAGCTATCATCATTGTTGTTGTAGCATTCAGAGGCCCAAGAGTTAAGTTTTATAAATGAATGTGCTGTCTTCTTTCACAACCACCAACAACTCTGTGGTTATTGTACGTGAGTAAGACCATAAGAATTTCCTTCCAGGCCTTGTCTCATAGAGGACAACCCAGCCATAGAGATGCAGTCTACTCTTCGCCTCCACCAACAGCTGCTATCACACACTCTTAGGTGGAGTAATAGTGACAAAAGTTTCTCTTTCCATAATGCTCAAAGGCTCCAACATGAGTAGGGCCATGTGAGGGAAAGCAGACATAGAAAAATGTTTCTTGGGCCAGGAATCTGGAGCACAATTAAAAGTTTAGTTAAGATATTTTAAAACTGTTTATTCCAATGGGAATTTAGAGGAGGGAAGCTGTAGGTACTGAACTGTTGCAGAAGAATGTGGAAAAAAAGAGGAAGAAGAAGATATCAGGAGAGGGTAATTGCCCTCAAGGGGCTCTTAGCCCTGGAGAAGTTACCTGCTCTGAATGGCACAAACACACACACACACACACACACACACACACACACACACACACACTTCAATGAAT